TCATTATTCCATGACCACCATTTTGTGCAATCATCAAGTGGCTTCACGACGTAATGCTCTAATGTTTTCTAAAAATTTTTAATCTGTCTTTAACTTGTCTTGTCATATTTTATATAATTTTAACCATTGTACCATGTATCCAGCTCTCACCATGTTGCTGGACGTTTCCCTCATCCTATACGAAAACAACAATTAGCAACATCCTCACATACTACTGTAAGTTGATTCAATTTAAATTCATTTTACACTTTTGTTGCTACTGTTATCATTGTAATTGCAGCTCCTGATGATGATGGCAAAGTCCATTGAAAGCTAGAGAGAATTAAAAAAAGTATAAAGAGTCCTCTTTGCTTAAATTTTGTCGAAGTACCCAACAAAAGGCGGAAGCTTTAATTTTTCACCTATATATATATATATATATATATTTGCATATCGTCAGTGAGGTTAGGTTAGGTTTCGAGACCCTGATCTTTCTTGATCGGGAAGAATAAAAACTTCAGTTACTAGCTCTATGTCTATTATTATGCAGGAAGCTAGACGAAACACTGTCGTGAAACTAGACAAATAAAGCTGCTATATCGTCGCTCATTATCTTATCGTATAAATTTTGGTGCCCTGATGCCTAATGTCATGAATGAACCCAAAACGCGGCACGTGTACCCCGGTTAAAAATTAAAATGCTCTGAAGAGTTATGAAGATAACTGAGAAATATGATTTTGACATATAAACTATAAATGTTATAGCATCTATTGTAAATGTTCTTACTGAGTACTTACTATTTATGACTATGATAAATTTAATCAAAATATGTAATGGATACAAACGGGTGGAAAATCATTAGATTAGGTGAAAAATCACACCTCGAAACCTTGACAAATTTTTAAGCGCTTCGATGATTACGTGGAAATAAGAGAGTCGCGTAAGTCTGGTTGCCCATATGTTCCGCTTGATGCAAAGATAAATAAAATAGTGATTCTGTATTTTTGGGCTTGGTAGCACTGCATGTCTGTTAGTGCCTTATTGCAATTTGAGCCTCATGTGTTCTGTGATGAAGGTAGTTAATTGAAAATTCATACATGCGGAAAGGAATAACCTTTTCGCGCGCGCCTGTGAGAATTGTATAAAAATCCTTTTTGACGGACACATTTACAGAAAAGTGGTTTCATGTGGTTGAAAGGAGATGGTAAGTAGCAAGCATCATGGTTACCCAACCATAAGAATTAAACATAAAACATATACAGGGTGACTTTGAAGTTGAGTCATTAATTTTCAGATAATGATTGTAGAAGGAAGATAAACCAAAATATGTGTGTAAAAATAAAAAACAAATAAAAAAAAAATTTACCTTGTTTTATAAAGTATCCTCCCGACAAGTATTTCAGTGCGGACCTGTATTTGATCGTGAGGTCTTGGAGCACCGGCATGCCGTCCATATGTGAGGTCTTAAGTCAAATGATTCACGAACCCGTTGTTCTACATTAACAAAGGCACGAGGGGTTGGTTGCACTCGATTGGGAAACCGATCCGCATAAACATGTGCCATTTTTTATTTCGTTTGAGCCACGCAACAGACACCACTATCCACTACAGACTGACACTGACTGTATACAACTGAATGAAATAATTGTAAAAACATCGTTCCAAATTCTTTCGCTTTTTTGTTTCCGATGCGATGAACCGATAAGGCGAATTATATCCGTTGTCGCCAAACACGAGCACATAATATTATTATTGAGACAGGGCGGTACTCAAACTTCCAAAGGGCTATAACTTTGTTACTTTAATTTTACCAGAAAAATGGTAAAGAAAAAAAACATTTCTTTTGATCAGATCTACTCACTGTTAAAATAAATGACTCAACTTCGAAGTCACCCTTTATACTAGTCTTAGTTTTGACACTTTTTATTTGTAAGTTAGCATGATGGTATTGTCTTTGTTTAGTCCCAAACATGAGACTATTCTGAACCTACTGCATTTGATCTTCTCGACTTTCGAAACTCCTCTTGATTCCGGAGAAACAGATCTCTAAAGGAGACATCGTAGAATATAGTTTTTTTTAAATTACGTTCACATATCGTCGCTTAATTTTTCACATCGCGTAACTCAAAAAATGGTGCCATCAAGATATGCATGTCATTTGATTGTTTTCCTCTTTTAAAAATTTGTTACTTTTGAGTTACGCTGTATTTTAACTTGGGCGACGATATAGTCCAAACCTATTAACTCACTTAGTTGGCCGGAGTCGGACTAGCCATAAACGCAATATATTGCTATTTTTTTACAACTATGTATAATGATGTCTTATAAACAATTTTTTTTGGGAATTGGAACGCGTCTTGATAGTATTGACTGTTCCATCTACAATGTAAAATAATACCTGCGGTTGTTTCAAGAAATTTATCCATGTTTGATTTCAAAAATATCAACCGCTTTTAAGAAAAAATGCCAATGGTTTTTCAGGTTTCTGATGACGGATCTGTTTTGAAAATTACCAAATTTTCCAAGCGGGGAACCAGTATTCGGAAACGGTTCCATAATGTATAAAACTGTACCAAAATATACTAAGTGACATATAAATCCGAACACCCAGTTTAAATGGTTTTATTTTAATAAAATTTTGTATAAGTACTTAATGAAGCATAATTTCTAAATGATTGCACTGCTTTAAAGCCCTTTGATATTTAATAATGTGTGGATGCACCCTGATGTGCTACGCATTCTCCAACGCGCCTAGGCATGCTTCTGATCAGGTGGTCAATGTCCTCCTGTAGTATCTCATTCCAGGCAACCACCAACTCCTCTCGAAGTGCTTCTAGAGTCTGAGGAGGACGTTGCAAATTGAGCAATCTCCTACCCATCATATCCCACACGTGCTCAATTGGGGATAAGTCGGGAGATCTTGGTGGCCATGGTAACAATGTGACATCATTATGTTGAAAGAAGTCTATTCTGAGTCTTGCAACATGTGGTCGGGCATTATCTTGTTGGAAAGTTGGATCTGCCAGGGTGTCAAGATGGATAAAAGATGGGGTTCTAGAACTTCGTGGATATAACGCTGCGCGTTCATGCTACCTCTGATGAAGATTAAAGGTGACCTGGAACCACAAGCTATAGCACCCCAAACCATAACTCCAACAGTGTGATGAACATGTCTTTCAACAAAAAACTGTGGATTCCTCCTTTCACCACGTCGCCTTCTAACCCTGGCACGACCATCGTGCATGCCTAAACAAAATCGAGACTCGTCACTAAAGACAATACTGTTCCATTCCTGATCCCAGAGTGACCGTTGTCTGCACCACTCAAGGCGATTACGTCGGTGCTCTCGAGTTAAAGGGAGGACCCAGTGTGGCCGGTATGAAAACAAACCAAGACTTCTCATTCGTCGGTAAACACTTCGCATGCCAATAGGTCTTCCGTGTTCTGCAAACCATTCATTTGCAATGGACCTGGTAGTGGAGAAACGGTCCCTTAAGGCCAATAATCTTAGGCGGCGATCTTCACGGTCTGTTGTTCTACGGCGGCGTCCAGTGCCCCTTGCTCTTTGCGTACGGCCTTCTCGAAGCCATGCCTGACAACACCTAACCACAGTGTGCACTCTAACTGCAATTGCCCGAAAAGAAAGTCCAGCTTCCCGAAGTCCCACTATACGGCCCCTATCAAACTCACTAAGTTGACGAAATCGTACAGGTCTCCGCACTCTAGGCATCGTAACCGATCGTAAAGGATGTCAAGAACCAAAATCCGCCAACGATGATTCTTTACTGCGGCTGAAATATTCATTTTTAGAGCATTAGTGAATTAAAAAAAAGCAGTATAAAAACCGGAATGTCCAAATGATAAGGCTGAAAATGTTTTCACTTGTTATTTACAGTAAGATAAATACATTCACCAACTTTTATTAAAATAAAACCATTTAAACTGGGTGTTCGGATTTATATGTCACTTAGTATAGTAAGGATAGTTCAGAACGGTTCTCTACCCCCCCCCCCCCCAAGACAAATATCCTACTGAATATGAATCATGCTGGATCCGCCCTTGCTAGACCTTCTCTTATAGCCTTTTACCTATAAGAATCCACTATTTATAGCAGTATCAATGACACAGAATCCGTTCACAATTTTAAATCTGACGATAATAGCTTACCTGCTTTGTTTTAAAACTATGTTAAGTAACCTTTTGGCTAACTTACTTCATTTAGTATTGTACTTATAGCAGAAAATGTTTTTTGTACGTTAAGTTGTTCAGATGTTTATTTTTGTATTTTCAACTTTTGACGCATTAAGCCTATGATATAGTTTCAGAAGTAGGCTAAAATTCTTTGTATTGCTTTTGTCATAAAGTGTTTTTTATCGTTTTAACTATCACGGGAATTTTAATGAAGTTCTATCTGCTTGAGCTCATAGATGAGATCCTATGTTATCGAATAACAAAAAAGAGTTTAATTAACCCGACCTCAAAGAATACTATTCAGATTACCACGCTTAGATTCATAATCTTGTTTTATGTGAAACCATTTTTTACGGTAGCCATATATCTATCGATGTGTAGGTCTTGGGGATAGTTACCCAGCTACCTTCCCTATATCGACACCCTTGATCCATGTTTTACATGGATCAAACACTTTAAATTGAAACACTGTAAAACGATCTATCATTACCAACGAAACAAAACGCATTTCCACATTCCTCGACATATCAGAAAGGAAATAAGGTCAACGCATATAAACAACCTCTCGTATTTTATGAATGGTAGAACATTCTTTGCGCACTATCATAGTAAACCACGAAATACCGAGGCAGCCCAAGAATGCACCCTGCCAGACGACTCTCACCCTTACATCCGACGACATAAAACCCAGAACCGCTTGCGAGTCGCCCATTGGTCGCAGCGATTTTCGGCTCGCTGGATCCTAGACGCGCTAGTACGGTAGTCGAAGCCCACCGAACAGGGTGAAACGATCATGGAGTAGTTGATTTTTCGTTTTGTTTGTTGTTTTGTTTTTGTTTTTGCTTTTATTTCTCACGGCCGACCTGATGGCGGAGGCGGATAGCGGCAGAGGTAAGTGGATTCAGATCAGGAGAGTATTTTGGCATTCGTCGAGCTTAATTATCGATTCCAAGGTTCAACGATGTGTCGTTGTTAGGTTTTCGTGGAAATCGGATGCGTAAGTGCGTGAATGGTGGGGCCTAATTTTCGAAAACGTCATTTTGGCGCCAAAATTATGATTTAAGCAGCGGATGCGTGTCAGTGTGTGAGAGCATTCACAAACATTCGTAGCTTGTGCAGAGCTGAAAGTCAAGCTACATAGGAAAGCGATTTCGCAATAACTAGGCTTTCTATTACTCCTAGAATTTACCCTTAACGGTGAGAATTGTTGCACGTATATTTTTCTTCTAGTTTTCTAGTCCTTTCAAAATACACCGGGTGTTTCAAATTCCACTGTCACCATTGGGATCTCGGAAACTGTAAGAGGTACGAAGTCGCTTAAACGGAGGCAAAATTTCGTATGTAGGTAATTAAGAAAATGCCGATTAGATGGTTTCGAAATTTAAAGTATTTCCGAAGAGAGATGGAAAAAACTGAATTTTGCCAAAATCGTTTTAATTTTTCCCTGACTTTATTTGCAGTGCGATTTCAAAATAAATTGCATATTGACGTTGCGACTTTTTCTCCACTAGAAGATGGCACAGTCAGAATTTCAATATGACGTTTCGTCTCTTGTCCTCCGGCATCAACCTTATTTTTTAATAAGGACGCCATATTGGGTTTTCACATAGATAAATAGAGTATTTAAATTCAAAAATCACACATTCACATTGCTAAACCTTAATTATTAAAAAAAAGCAGAATTTTCTTGGTAGGCCTTGAAATTATCAGATAGTCGTTTGTTTTGCATATTGGATACATCCAAAAATCATTTTTATTTTTTCGTGACTTTATTATAGATAGTAATTCAATATAAATTGAATTCTGTATTGTTACTTATTCTCCCCCACATGATGGCATAGTCAACTTTTTAATTCGAGGTTTATTCTTTCCACTGCTATCATTTTGTTTTTTCATATGGACGTTATATTGGAATTTTGTACATTTAAATGGACTTTTCAGTCCTAAATTCAGTAATGTATTTCTTTAGTTGGCCATAGATTTGTCGTTGGATGAAAAATATAATGAAATAAAAAAGTATGGTGATGAAAATTTTATTGATGGTAATAATAATAATAATCATAAATGCGCAGAAGTAAATTATAGCAGATGTTCAAAATGTCTATTTTTTAACTGTTCTCTGTACATTGTTCACGGCTCGGTTTATTTGCCTATTGTCTTCCAAACTTTGTTACTATGTCCAATATGCGGTCTCGTCTGCTAGGTATATGAAACAGATGATAATTTTAAGGCCTACCTAAGAAATTTCGCTTTTCTAAAAAAACTAAGGTTTGACAATGTATGACATATTACTCGTTTTTGAAAATAAAGTTGATGCTGGAGGACAAGAGACGAAACGTCATATAATATATATAATATATAATACAATATATATAATATATATAATATAATAGGTGAAAAATTAGAGCTTCCGCCTTTTGTTGGGTACTTCGACAAAATTTAAGCAAAGAGGACTCTTTATACTTTTTTAATTCTCTCTAGCTTTCAATGGACTTTGCCATCATCATCAGGAGCTGCAATTACAATGATAACAGTAGCAACAAAAGTGTAAAATGAATTTAAATTGACTCATCTTACAGTAGTATGTGAGGATGTTGCTAATTGTTGTTTACGTATAGGATGAGGGAAACGTCCAGTAACATGGTGAGAGCTGGATAGATGGTACAATCGTCAAAATTATATAAAATATGACAAGAACAAGTTAAAAACAGATTAAAAATTATTTAAAAAACATTAGAGCATTACATCGTGAAAGCCACTTGATGATTGCACAAAATGGTGGTAATGGAACAATGAGTGAGATGAAACCCTTTGACATAAGGCCGAAGGTTGTTACATATCTCCCCAAATTTCGACTCTTCACAACCATAAATAGAATCTGTGTTTTGGCCGATTCCACCAGTAAATTTCATTCCACTCAAAATCTAATAATTCTCTTCTCACGATTTATTAATAATTGTTAATTTAAATTCCCATTAATTAAAATATAGTTTATTCAACTGCCTCTGGTCGGTTTAACAATTTCTTACATAACATTCTGAAAATCACATCATCTGAAGTGATTTGGCAACGTTGGCACACGCCCACAATTCGTTCCATCTTTCAACACAGATATTGACAACCTTCGGCCTTCTGTCAAAGGGTTCATCTCACTCATTATTCCATGACCACCATTTTGTGCAATCATCAAGTGGCTTCACGATGTAATGCTTTAATGTTTTTTAAATAATTTTTAATCTGTTTTTAACTTGTTCTTGTCATATTTTATATAATTTTGACCATTGTACCATCTATCCAGCTCTCACCATGTTACTGGACGTTTCCCTCATCCTATACGTAAACAACAATTAGCAACATCCTCACATACTACTGTAAGTTGAGTCAATTTAAATTCATTTTACACTTTTGTTGCTACTGTTATCATTGTAATTGCAGCTCCTGATGATGATGGTAAAGTCCATTGAAAGCTAGAGAAAATTAAAAAAGTATAAAGAGTCCTCTTTGCTTAAATTTTGTCGAAGTACCCAACAAAAGGCGGAAGCTTTAATTTTTCACCTAACTGGTCTAGACGACAATGACCACGTCTCAAGTTATAATATAATATATATAATATATATAATATATATAATATATATAATATATATAATATAATATATATAATATAATATATATAATATAATATATATAATATAATATATATAATATAATTCTAATTATGCCATCTTGCAGATGCAATTCATTTAAAAATCCCACTACAAATAAAGTCAGGAAAAAAATCAATTTAGATTTTTCTGCCACTCATGCAGTTCAAGTTATTTTGAAAATCGGTTAGCAATTTAGAAATGGTCAGTAAAACAAAATATTAAATATATGTTTCATGACCTCTATGTTTCCATTCCTAAATCTTGTGGATAACGGAACATTGCTCTTTAACATACTCTTTACTACTCAAAGGAGTTCCAAATATGTGGCGTGTCACCTTTATTTTAGTTTTTTAACAGACCCATATTCTCTTTTTTCCTTTACGTTGTATGTTGGTTATGCCCAAAGGGACAGAAAATGAACATACCTTATTTAACTAGATCTATATTGTCATAGAAAATTTAGGCCTATACAATTTGAAACTTAAGATTTATTTGGATGAACCTAAATTTGAATATATTCCTCAAACGTATTATACTGTTTTCAGAGGCAATGAAAATATTTGGCGATTAGAGAATGCGTGATACAGTTTCACTTTTGTTACAGTTTTATAATTGTTATGATGACGCAACGTATATTAACAGTATATTTCCACCATCTGTTTTTATTTACCAAAAATTATGAATTAATATTATCACTAGTTATTATAAAATCGAATCGGTATTGCTACTACTAATTCTTTACATTAGACATGTAAATAATGGTTTCAAGAAGGTTGACTCTGTACTTCCCACGCAACGCCGTGATCAGTTCATAAGCGATTGAGCTAAGCGCAATTTAAATCATTTGAGTAAAAAGTCAAAAGTCAGTAACGAACATGTGCAGTAGAGAAATTAAATGGATTAAGTCAGTCAAACAGGTCCCTGACCTACCGGTAATTCCTGTGCATCTTGCAACGTTGTCCCTTTCCACATCTGCACGGCAACGCCCAGTGCAGCTTCACTGCAGCGAGTTATTGTTCATTACATACGTGGACCGTGTATATGTTTTTGCACTGCAGTATGGATAGATTAGTCGGCCGGACCGGTCCGCCAGGCGGTGAGCTTTGTTAGCAGGAGTGGGCGGATCGAAAACTACTCTATCATGCTAAGCCTTACGGGGAAATCTATGATGTGTGAAATATGGCTAATGGGTGCTTATAATTACCGGGGTTGGGAGCGTATACATATACCAAGATCAAATAATTTCCATATACGATAATTTCACGCAACTACGAGCCCCTTCCCACTTCAGTTGGCCCAACTATTGAAAGCTTAGTTTTTTCTTATCAAACACAAATAATAAAAATGTAGCAGGGTGTTATAGGTTGAAAATATTAACAATTAATATTTTGATATTATATAGTAGAAAACATAAACTTTATCACTCCCTAATCAAGTTTGCAGCATAAAAACAACACATGTTGCAATTACAGCATATATATATATATATATATATATATAGGTGAAAAATTAAAGCTTCCGGCTTTTGTTGGGTACTTCGACAAAATTTAAGCAAAGAGGACTCTTTATACTTTTTTTAATTCTCTCTAGCTTTCAATGGACTTTGCCATCATCATCAGGAGCTGCAATTATAATGATAACAGTAGCAACAAAAGTGTAAAATGAATTTAAATTGAATCAACTTACAGTAGTATGTGAGGATGTTGCTAATTGTTGTTTACGTATAGGATGAGGGAAACGTCCAGTAACATGGTGAGAGCTGGATACATGGTACAATGGTTAAAATTATATAAAATATGACAAGACAAGTTAAAGACAGATTAAAAATTATTTAAAAAACATTAGAGCATTACGTCGTGAAGCCACTTGATGATTGCACAAAATGGTGGTCATGGAATAATGAGTGAGATGAACCTTTGACAGAAGGCCGAAGGTTGTCAATGTCTGTGTTGAAAGATGGAACGAATTGTGGGCGTGTGCCAAAACGTTGCCAAATCACTTCAGATTATGTGATTTTCAGAATGTTATGTAAGAAATTGTTAAACCTGGAAATGTCGCAGTGAGCCAACTGAAGTGGGAAGGGTTCTTACTTGAGATTCTTCTAATTCGTAGAATTGACACTTCTAAATAACAACAACAAAATTGGAGTATATTGGTGAAGTATTTTGTTTTTTGAGAATATCTAATTGTTTATCCCAAAACACCTGTTTTCCGGCCACCACTACTAGTTTATTGAGCAATATACAG